CCAAATATAAAAATTCAAATTAATATTAAAAATAAAAATCCCCGTTAGCCTTGACATTTTCCTCACTTTCTTGGGAAATTCATTTTTCTTTGCCTACTTTAAGACATTCCAACTGAATTTGACTCAATCATTTAATATAATATTATGTTTGAAGAGCTTTATCTTGTGCAATATCAAAACACTAGATAAATATGACCCATGATTCCATCGTAGTTACCTGAAAACACCAGGTAACCATGTGTGAGGCATCGTGGTGAAATCAGGCGCTCGTCAAAATAATGGAATCGAAGAATGGGCAATTTTTGTTTATTTGGAAATTTTAATTGATTTTTTCGTTGAAAATGTTGGGCTCAAAGTAATTTATATCCACTTTTAAACACATTCTTGCATGGATTTTACTGATGAAGATTGATCAAAGTCACACACAAATTGTAAATATATAGTTTCCAAGGACACTACAGCTTTCGAAGTCCTCAATCTGAGGTGTCCATTTTCTCGTGAAATTTATCACTAACACCACGCTACCTTAGATTTATAATGTTCTATCTGACACATTGGTCGTTTTGAGTGGATTTCCTCAAAATCAAAAGCCATAACTCCGAGGTCAAAAAACCAATTTTAATGTTCTATCTGCTCTATCAAAATCGTAAGATTATTCAGAGTCGTTATTTAGATATTCAAAGAATTGGATTCGGAAAAGCTTGACATGTTGTAAAGCTCAAAATAGAACGTTCTTGCTTCTATACAAATCAGCACTAAACATTGATGTGAGTCTGAATCCACTTAAGAAACCAAAAAAAATTAAAAGAAAACTCTTCCTGATACACCTTGGCGTTCGTTGCTGTAAGCTACATGTATAAAACAGTATAAAAAACAGTTATCAAAAAGGTAAATCTGACACTTTATTTTACTTCTTCCAGACACATTTTAGCCTTTGCTGTTTTAAGCTACACGTATAAAACATTTATTAAAATGGTAAATCTTACATTTCATTCTATAACATGTACTTCCTGACATAATAAGGAAGTCATTGGTACTTGTCGTGTGAAAATAGTAATCATAAAGATCAACCTAACACTTGACATCATTGACTTCTTCCTGGCTATAAATAGAGTTACCGTATCAAAAAAGGTAACGCTGACACTTTATTTTGTACTTCTTCAATTTGACTTTACTTTTTCCTGCATTTATCAAAAAGGTAAAACTGACACTTTATTTTGTACTTCTTCAATTTGACTTTACTTCTTCCTGCATTTATCAAAAAGGTAAAACTGACACTTTATTTTGTACTTCTTCCTGCCTATAAAAACATACATAAAAAATATAAAGCTGACACTTTATTTCATTTTTTCCTGACACACTTTGGCGGCTGCATTTTTTAAGCTACATGTATAAGAATAGTTATCAAAAAGATAAACCTTACATTGAATTTTACTACTTACGAACACATTAATTGCTTTAAGTCACACGTATAAAAACAATTAAAAAAACAAAAAACCTAACACTTGACTTGACTTTTTCCGGACTATAAAATCAGTTAGATCTACCAAAAAGGTAGAGCTTACAATTTATATAACTTCTTCCTTACACATTAAGCTGGTCGTTGCTACATTCATAAAAACAGCTATCAAAACGGTAAAGCTGACACCTTTTACTTCTTCCTGACTATTAAAACAGTTAGCAAAAAAGGTAAAGTTGACACTGTATTTCACTTCTTTCTGACACACTTTGGCGGATGCTTTTTTTTAGCTACACTTGTAGAAAAAAACAGTCATAAAACATGTAAGCCTAACACTTTCTTTTACTTCTTCTTGACTATACATTACAATTATCAAAAAGATAAAGCTGACACTTTATTTTACTTTTTCCTGACACATTAAGGCGTTCATTACTACATGTATAAAACATTTATCAAAAAGGTAAGCCTAACACTTTTTTTTTACTTCTTCCTGACTATAAATTACAATTATCAAAAAGGTAAAACTGATGCTTTATTTTAATTCTTCTTGACAATAAATTACAATTATCAAAAAGGTAAAGCTGACACTTTATTTTACTTTTTCCTGACACATTAAGGCATTCATTACTACATGTATAAAATAGTTATCAAAAAGGTAAACCGAACACTTTCTTT